ACCAGACGCACACGAAACAGAAGCGCTCAGTGCGTGCAGCCACAGGGTGCTCTCCAACTCCTGTGTCCTCCGCTTTCCACACGGCCATCCCGAGACGTGCCACTGCAGGCCAGCGTGTTCCCCTTCCTGCCACCGCCGAGTGCACACACACGACAATAAAATGGTTGCAGCAACCACGAGAACGACCCCTGGGTGTCCTGCTGCTGTCAAACAAGCCACGATGCAGAAACTGGCCCAGGTTCACATGACGCAGCAACCCAGGGTGGGTAAGAACCCACAGGGAGTTGCCCTGTCGTGCGGACCAGCCCGTGAGTTACTTTGAGCCTCGCCTGTGGAACGACGGAGGCGAGCGGTGGAGAAGGAAGCCCAGTGCGGAGGGACGGGCGAGCGGAGGAAGCTGCTGCGGCAGTGGGGGCCGAGGAAGGTGGAGACCGCAGAGAAGCGGGAGGAAAGGGCCCTGGAAGCGCAGGTGGGCTGGGAGGGCTGTGGGACCACTGTGCCCTCGCGCCGTCCTCTCCACGCGGAGGAAAATGTGCCCGCGGGTCTGCAAGGGCGGCCTGCCCTGCCAAAGCATGGCACTTGCAGAATTGCCACGAGCCTAAATGACCGGGTTGCTCATGCAAGCGGCCGTTAGGCTGCACTGCAGGGCCAGTGCAATTCGTTTTAATTTCACAAAGACGATCTCGGGCCTGAGAACGGCTCGGCGGCCAAGGCCCGGCAGAAGTCAGCGAGGCCGACGGTTGAGTAGGCACTGCGTAGGCTGGGCTGCTGGGGGGGGGGAAGGGGGGCTGGCCTGAAGGGCCCAGCTGCCCGCCCCCGTTCCAGCAGATCAATCCGGCTTGCAATTCTGGGCTTCGTGCAACCAGCCGCAGAGTCCTGCGCCCGGCCGACGGCTGCAGACGGTGCGTGTCTGCACAAACCATTTCGTCGCGGCGGAGCAGTGCTCTCCTGTGACGCCGGCCCCTCTTGCGTTATCGGAGCAAACGCCCGGGGCCCCGGGGGAGAGCCCCGGGAGACTCGGGTTCAGACGTTTGACACGCTTCCTTCCCACCCGCTCGCGAGGAGGCGCGGCCGGGCGAGGCTTTCGCTCCGCGCGGCGCCACCCCTTCCCGCACAGCGGAATCCGTGTGTGCCTCGTGCCCCGCGACTGTGTGTGCACGTAATTAAGGAGCAGACAGCGCGCCTTCGCCGAGCCGCAGCGGCTCTGCTGTTATTTATACGCCCGCTTCCTCCCGCACAAAGAGCCCTTGAGCAGGGCTTCCCCCTCCCGCTTCCCGAACAGCTGCTCCCAATGTTGCGCGCTGAGTGATGCCGGGGCTCCGAGAGGTTCTCCGGAGCAGATGGCTCGGCGCGGCTGCGGAATGTGCCAGCAGGGGCTGGGGGCGCGCCAGGCCCCGCCGAGCGCGGCGCTTCGGGTTCCAGCTCGCGTGCCTTTCCCTTGCCCTCTGCCCCGAGTGGCGCCAGCAGGGCTTCCCAGCTCGCACGCGGAACATCTGGAGTCTGCGGCTGCCAGCAGGCGAGGGCGGGCGGCGGCGCTCCGGCTCCGGCTCCTCGCCTCGCCTCCCGTCCAGGCTGCCGCGCCGCCAGCCAGCCAGCCAGCGAGCGCGCGCGCGCGGCGGCGGCTAATCCAAACCACCGGGGCGCGCCGGGTGCGCGGGCGCGTCCCCGGCCCTTGCGCGCGGCCCTGCCCCCCCCCCCCCGGGCGCTCCTCGCGGGGGCGAGCCGCCCTCTCCTCCGCGAGCTGCAGTCGAGGAGCGGGGAAGCGCAGCCTGGGAGCGCGGCGCCCTCGGCCCCCTCCCGGCGCGGGGCGCGGGCTGGCGGCTCCCCGGGAAGCCCTCCGGGCACGGCTCGCCCCCGGCTGCTCGGCTCCGCGGCGCCCCCGCTGCTCGGAACGCGCCCCGGCACCGCAGGCCCCGTTCCGGGGCAGCCCTCCGAGCGCCAGGGGAGGATGGCCGTGAAGCCGAGGCGCCGCGCGGAAGGCGCTGGGGCCTCGCCCCGGGCTGAATCTCGCAGCCCAAGTTCCGCTGCAGGAGGGCGAGCGCAAGGCGTGCGCACATCGCTAGTGTCCATTCGCGCACCTTTGCACATCGCTGCATTCGTATCTGGACCTCGTGCTCCGTTTAAGGTGTCCAGGCCTCTCTTAAACGGGCAAAGTTGTACACCGACTTCTCCTCGCCCCCCCGCCCCCCCACTCTACACACTTGCTGGGGAAAACGCCAGAGCTTCTGCCGAGAGCCAGGCACATGTCCCTGCCCGAACAGAGGCCCTGCTTCGCAGCGCATGTCCTTGAAGGAGCTCAGGCAGATCCACTGTCATTTCCCCCAGGGCCGCAGGGAGAAGAGGCAACTCTGTGGCCAGTTTTAGGGACGCAGGTACACACTGATCCGGGTTTTCTAGAATGTTGTCACGTTTGGCCTTGCAGCTGAACTGCCAGAGCTGCCTAAAAAGCTCGGATCCAGAAGGATATTCGGGAATCCATCGCCTTATTCTCCTTGCTTGCAGGCACCATCTCTTTCCAGATTCCAGATCCAGGATTCCAGTTGTAACATCCCGGTCCAAGAAAGGCAAGTGTTCCCCATCCAGGAGGTTAATTCTGCACCCAAGCCTGCCAGTTTCATGCGCTCTGGTTACTTCCAGTTTAGGTGTGCTCTTTGTGGATTGACTGGATATGTTGGCTGCCCAGAGAGCACCTGGCTAATAGGTGGCAAGCGAGAGCGAGAGCGAGAGCGAGAGCGAGAGAGAGAGAGAAAAGAAAGGGAGGAGGAGGCTGCAGTTGGCACAAAACTCCTGCCGGCCAGGTCCACTCACGGACCGCACCAATGTCGCTTGCGCTGCATCGCCTGCCACCTTGTTCTCAGTTTCAGCAGAAGTTGCCATGCCTTTCCTTTAAACCGCTAAATGGCATGGGCCCACGCAATAAAAAGCTCTTGTCTCCAGGCTTTGAGGAAGTACATGTGGCTTATTCTACGAACTGGCCCTGTGCATTTTGGCTCTGAGAAGGGGAATTCATCCTCGGATGCTTTTTTTGGGGGGGGGGATTGTGTGCAGAAATCCTAGAAGAATCATGTGATCTCAGAGTCCTCCATGGACGTTTCTAGGGAAAAAACAACCCCCGGAGGGTGCCGAGTCTTGGGGGCAAAGAATAGATGGCAATGTGGATAAAACCACATTTTCTCAGCCTGCCGAGACTTCGTTTCTTCATCCATTGGATGGTTTTGGGTGTTCTCTGCTTCAGTTTGGCCACAAATGGCTTGGGAATGACCAAGGAGGCTCTTTAGGCATGGGTTTCATGGAGACCCGTGAAAACCAGCCTCTTGCACTGGCTGGAGCTCCTGATGTGTCGGCCGTCACTGCGGCTGACCCGCCACTTATTACAGCACTGTTAGCATGTTAGCAGTTTGCTGAACTGTAAGAGATGCAAAGCATCCCAGTGGGACGAGCAGGGTGAGGGTAACTCTCTTGAATAAAAATTGCCAGAAATGTTGGGCCTCGCTCTTAAGAAACAGCCGCTCTCTTCTCTGCCTGCAAAAGGTTCCGAGAGCCCGAGACAAGAGGGCAGGTCAGGTCAGGGCAGGGCAGGCCCACCTGGGCTGCATGAGGTCATGCCTTCAGACCCTGCCAGCAGCCTTCCTGAGCTGCTGCCAGCCTGTGCCAGCAACACTGGCTCCAAGGGAGCAGTGGCCTGACAAAGGAGCAGGCGCACGGAAGCCACTGGGCCAGGAGACACCACACAAGCAGTGCCTCTGCAGAGCAGGCCGCCCTCCGTTTACTCAGCCAGGAGTGTTATTTCCCGGCGGCAAGGATGGAGAGAGCCCCAGATTTTGACTGGGTGCCCCGCCTGATGCTTATTATGCTTTAGGGAAGGGACGTGCCTCCCCTGTTTCTATTCAGCTGGAATTCCACTCCCAGGGCTGGCTAAATGGTGGCCCCACGCTCCGGTTTGGGCCGTGGGGCTTGTCAGCTCTTGCATCTTCTTTTCCATCGCCTGGACCCTCCTGCCCCTCTGCCCAGCACCCACCCAAGTTGTGCCGCAGTGCAGCGCTCCGGCATGGCAAGGAGGAGAAGGAAGCACACGGCCCTTCTCCGTTATTTGTTTGTTTATACCCTGCCTTTTTCCTACAAAGGGCTCAAGGCAGCTTACATCGTTCTCCTCCTCCATCTTATCCCCACAACAACCATCCTGTGAGGTAGGTGGGCCGAGAGTCTGTGACTGGCCCAAAGTCCCCCAGTGGGCTCCATGGCCGAGCGGGGACTCGAACCCGGATCGTCCGAGTCCCAGTCCCACGCTCTTCACCACTGCGCCACACTAGGTGAACTGCAGCATGGAAGAGAGGCTGCCCGCATCAGGCGCAATGGATCGTTCGTTGATCATCCCGGCCAAAACGAGGTCACACTGCGAGCCAGTCAACATGAGCACCTGCCTGCCAGGACAAGTCCCGACCAGCTCCTTTTGGGAGGCGCGGGGAGCCTTCTGTGCCACGGAAAGCACATCTAGAGCACAGTCTGGATGAGGCACCAGAAGGGCAGGCACGGTGTGACGGAGAGGCCACGTGCTGCAGGCCGGTGGCCTTGGCAGGGGCTTCTTCATGGACAAGCCCAGCCAGTCGTTTCCTGGGATTGTCTAGGCAGTTGCTGTTTAAGGACACACAACACCGAACATTTGTCATTTGCAGGAGAAAAGCAGCTGGGCTTCCTTTCGATCATGGCTCCTCAAACTACGGCCCGGGGGCCGGATCCCATGGGACCTGCCGCTGGCTGCCTCCTGTGCCCACCTCGCCTCGCCTCGCCCCGCCCTCCACCAGGCATCGCCTTTCCAGCCCACGCCCAGCACTGGCCCCCTGGTCAAAAAGCCTGAGGACCCCTGGGTTAGATAATCAAACTCTCATGGCAGGAGAGGATTGCGACTGGGTCATGCAAAGATAAAGGGAATACACCTCCCATCCCTTGAATTTACAAGCCTTTACATTTATGATTGAAACAGGATACAGAGCAAAGGAAAATACTTTGAGATGGTGTATTAAGAGTTAAATACCCCTTCCCACCCTTCTTCTCTAAGGGTATGCACCTTAAAGAAAGAAAACCCGCATATGGGAAGGACCCAGCTTCCACATGAGCCAGAGCCCCTGGCAGGAAAGAAGGAAGGAAAGACTATCAGTGTTCCTGTAACTGAACTAGAATTTGGTGTGTTAAGAAAGCAGGTAAACAGAAAGGACACTGCGGGGCTGAACTGGCCATTCTGTGTGTCCCTTACGATGCAGCTGATTTATGGCCATGCATGAAGGCTCAGTCCCGACTCCAGACAGGAAGTTCACTTGAAGTTTACCAATCTCTTTTTGTCATGAAAGTCTGAGCCCAGGCATCAGTCTTGCTTCTAATTTATCCACGTCACCTTCCAGGAGGGCTACTGGCAGAACGCTTCGTTTCCTCTTTAATGCCGTTTGAGGATCCTTTCGGCTCACTAGCCCTGGGTTTAAGTACCCCGAAGGATGCGGTGCATTATTAATGTGACTTCTGTTTCTTTGAGACCTGATCAGCTAGTGGTGCTCTGCTTGGCTACCAGATTGGAGGACTGGGCCAGCCACCCGGTGGTGGGGCTGAAGCTTCACGCTCAAGACTCGGATGCCACTCCTTCTGCCCATGGACGTGAGGAGCGTGGCTGCTGCTTGCAAAGGGGTGCTGCGGCTGGGAGCAAGGAGGTGGGCTGTCCTGGCTGGTGCACCCCAGGCGACCTGGAACCGGAATGCGGAGCAGACCGAGATGGGACTGGGAAGGGGGCGGGCAGGCGGGGCTCTGGACAGCTCGGAGGAGGACCCTCGGCTCCCCACTCGCTCAGTCCTGCATTCGTGCCTCGGAGCGGCGCCTGCTACGGTCACCACTGCACCGGAGCTCCTCTGCGCAAGGCAGGGCGCCCGACGACCCCGGCCGTGCCTCCCAGCTGCCCTTCCTCGCGCCCGCCTGCTCCTGCAGGAAGAGGCTGCCCCGGGTGGGCGCCCCGGGGGAGGCGGCGGAAGGCATCTGCATGAGCCTGGGGGTTCCACCAGCCCCACAGGGCGGTACTGGCGGTGCAGAGTTCGGGGTGCCCCCTTGTTTTATGCTCCACCCCCCCAAAAAGAGGAGCAATTAAACCTAAGAGAAAACATCACTGACTGTTGGTGCATTTATGGCACGTAAGCTTGCCGAGAGCTGCTTGTTTTAAATTATTGCTACAGCACAACTCCACCAAGATTATTCTTATGCTCGGGCATGAACAGGGATGGAAACAAGGCAAGGCACAAAACAGAAGCCTCTGCGAGAAGCTAGAGAAAGTGCGAAAGCCTCAGTCCAGAGAGCGCCCCTAACAGAAGAGGCAAGCGACGGCGCAAAGGGCGGGACCCGCGGCCCATCCGTGTGAGCCGGGTGCCTTTCGCTCTCCCCCGGAACGTACCTTCCTCTTTTTAGACCTCCCCTCTGCCTGTAGGGTCCGGGTGCATTGCTCCACGCATTCCGAGAAGCTCATGTTACGGTGGTCAGCGCTGTAATCCAGGTCAGCCAGTCTGGCCAGGGAGAGGATATAGTTACACGCTATCCTGAGGATGGCCAGCTTGGATAATTTCTGTCCGTAGGAGTAGCAGGGAACCTGGAAAGGGCAACAAGAGAGAGAGGGTTAGGCGGCAGCATCCGACCTCGCGGGCGGGGAGCAGGCTTGCCGAGCGGCTGCTGCTCGCGGCCAGAGCTGGCCCGGGAAGCACAAGGGCACCTTGCCAGAGTGCCGGTGGCTCGGTGGGACATGCATGCAAACGGGGAGGATGTGCGACCCCAGGCAGCATCGCTTCTGCGAGTCCCTGGCGAGCGCGTTCGGCCCCCAGAATGTGCGGCAAGGCCTTTGGACCGAAGCACCCGGAGCCTGTTGCGCAGCGCCCTTCCCTCTCCCTCCCTCCCGCCCGTCCCAGCCGTGCTCCCTTTCTCAGTATTCTTTATTTTCATTCTTTTCTATAGCAATGTTAGCTTTCCTTGGAAGGAGCCCTGCTTGTTTGTTGATTTTTACATTTTCCACGCATGCCTCTCCCATGAAAGACTGTACAAAGAGCAGCACTTCAGAAAAGACAGGGATAAAAGCTGCAACCAACTGAAACTCTCCGGCCATGCATAAACCCTCGAAAATGCTCCGGCAAACGTGAGCCCAAAGTACGCAGCATTGGTGCCAGACAACGATCCCTGGGGGGCACCTGGAGGGGCAGCCGTGGTGGAAAGGCTGTCCAGGCCACACGTTGCTCAGGCCGGTGTCGCACCCGGAGCGCCTCTCGCGTAGGAGAGCGCAAAGCCCGCTGGGATTGCTGTCCCTTGGCGGGACGAGGGCCGCAGGCGAAGGAGCGGCGTCGCTCCCGCAGACCGGAATGCCGTCGGCCGCTCGGGGAGGCTGCCAGCCGAGAAACTGTTCCGCCTTAGCTCTCCCACCTACTCCTGGTGTCGGGACCCAATCCATGAGGGAACTGCCCCGGGGCCACTGCATGCTGTGCACCCACAGCACTTTCCTTGCGAGGGGCGCTGCCTCCGTTTTCGGACACTCCCGCAAATGTCTCTTCCTGGGATCACGCAGCAGTGCAGAGCGCTAGTTCAGACAAGACCCGCACACGTGTGTGTCTGCTGGGCTCGATCCCACAGCACAGGCAGGTGAAATGTCTTGCCAGAGCATGCTGTTCGTGCCGCCCGGCCCGAGAGGAGACGAGGAGTGCTCTTCTCCACGCTCCTCAGAGCTTGCAGCAAAGAAACCTCCGTGGTCAAGCCAAGATGCCCAACCGATCTCTGGGTAAGTGTGTCCCGCAGGGAAGACGACCTCAGGCTTCTTCCTCCGGGCAGGGACCCTCCACACACTCAGCCTGGAGTGGCAGCACTGAACGCCAGGAGCCGTGCCCCAGGAAGGCTCCGACTGCATCATGCGGCCTCTTCCCTGCCTGTGTGTCCTGCAGCAGCTCAAAACGAATTGTGCAGGCAGCGAGTTGGCTGCACCAGCCGTCGCGAGTGGGGGCTGCCTGTAAGCCAACTTGTGGGGTGCCCCCCTCCCCGTTTGACACGGCGTGGAGCTAGGAGGCCTTCTGGAGCACACAGCCAGGCTAGCTGGGCGGATGGGGCGGCTGCTTCAGGAAAAACAAGGCTGAGACCCACTGGGAGTTCAGTGGCGACTTCCGCCGTTCCCGGGATCCTGGCCAGTAACCTGCTGCTTCAAAACCAAGAGCCGTGCGCACGGCAACGCTTCTGCACAATTGTCTTAATGCCAACAACAACAACAACAACAAACCCCAACATCCTGGGAAGAAAACAGACTCTGCAAGTCAACACAGGTAAATTTCAGTTTCTCAAGGACAAAAGTAGAGGGATAATGAGGGAAGGATGTTGTTCAGTTGCGGTGCTTTAGTTCACTATTCTAGTTACTGTTTCCCAAGAATGCCTCCCATCTTGGCTTAGTTCCTGCCATTTTAGTGCTTCCTTTTCAAGAAAAGATGGGAAACTGAAAGAGAAATCTCTCCAGTTTAATGATCAAGAGAGGCGTCCAAAGAACATTGTTTAAATTTGGACACATACTTTTCCTGGCCAGGAGCACTGAGCCTGGACTCTTGGTTAAACCATTTAACTAAGAAGTAAAAACGGCAAACATGAAGTTGCTTCATCTCTGTGTGAGAGAGAATAATCTAAAAACGAGGCAACAACTTGGGGTTTGTCTGGAATTAACACATCTGTTAATCACAGATTCTGACATGCTTGTTTTCGGCTCCTGGCAAATTGTGGTTTGCGGCTGCCATCCTATGTGTGTTTCCCTGGTTGGGAGCCAGTGGTGTCCTCTGGGAAAGTGGAACCGCATTGGCACTGCCCTGTTGTGCAGGCAGTGGCCACGGATGTCCATGCGCCAGCGTGAGCGGAAGCAGCAGCGGGTTGCGCAAGCACGGGCAGCAAACCCGTCTGTGGGAAGGGCCCTTTGACTGGGCTCTCCTCCGGCACAGAGATCAGCGCCTAGCTTCTGCCAGCCCGGCCCCGTGGTGCTGAGGGACTGACACACCTGGGCAGGGCCCCGGGTGAGCGCAGTGCCGCTGGCTTCTGCGCAGGGCTGCACCGTATTTCTTGTGCTCAGAGAGTGCTGAATGTTGGCGTTCCCAGCGAGAGCTGATTTGACGCTACGCAGCCATTTCCAAAGCCTTCTCTGCCCTGTTCCCAAACACAGGTTGTGTCGAATGTGCAGGGTGCACCAACTGTGTTACGGAAAGTTTTTGCAGTGATAGAAATGCTGGCTCACTAATTGTGCAATGCAGCCTTGGGGAATTCCAGAACTTGAAACGTGCTGTTCAAAAGGCAGCTCCGGAGTTCTGGCAACTTCAACCACAACTGGCCACGGACTCCTGTCCTGGCCAGGTCTGGTGATCGGGGTCTGCCGTGAAGCTGGGGGCTCATGTTCAGGCCCCTCTTTCTGATGTCGACCACAACTTGGTAGGGCCCTCCCTCAGCATGTGATGCGTGGAGAGGGAGCTTTCAGGCTGTCCTGAATATTCAGTGTCAGCGAAATCAGATCCCATCAGTCAGACTCTGAAAGGCATGATATCTCAACAGTCCAGAAACAAGAGCTCCTTCTGCAAAGGACTCGGAGCCTGCATCTCCCTGTCTTCTAGCTTCCCTTGTTCCTTTTTTTTGCTGGAAGTTTCACATATTTTAAAGCCCCACCGGGAAGCAACTTGGCTGGCATACCAGTGAATCTCTTCGGAAGAAACAGTGAAGCTTGCCTGTACTGTGATGCATGCCAAGCATTTCCCAGAAGATGCAGATGAATATGCAGCCTCCGGTTCTGCCCTAGCCAAAATGAGGCGACGAATCAGGTGCTCCTCTCTTACCACTTGAAGTCAGCCGCCCGAGGCCTGTCGCAGCGATTCGGTGGGGACTGGTGCCACTCACAGTGGCTGCTTCCATCTCGAGAGTGATTGGCTGGTGCTTCTCTGCTGCATACAGCTCCAGAGCAACACCCTGACCCCAGCGCCACAAATACCGAGGACTTAATCTGTTGGATTTGCACCCTGCCCTTCTACCCAAAACTGGCACTCATGGGAACTCGGCAGCTTATATAAAAACACTTCTGGTAGGAATTGGAGGAGGAGAAGCTGAGAACATGGTGACCAAGGGTGCTTCAGGCTAGCACGGCTTCTGTGCTCTGTGCCACTGTGCCCATTTTCCCCAGAAGAGGAACCATGGCGTGCAACCGACTCGATGGGGAAAGGCAGGCACCCCAGCCATGTCCACTCTGTGGCTCCGCTGCAAGGTCTTCTTAGTGAGTGTGCCCCTGCACGGGTGTTCCTCCCAGATCTGGAGAGGAAAGCCAAGAAGAGGGATCCGCATCCTCCAGGATCCCGAGGGAGCCTCCGGTATGAGGGGGGGTTGCCCGTCAGAGGAACGGCGCTGCTCACAGGGAATGGCAGTAAAAGAAGGCCGTTATCCTGCACTTTCTTCACCCACTTAGCTCAATGGGGTTTACTTTTTGCCCGCTTTCAGTATGTTCTATTAGGCAAGCACGCAGGTGGCGCTTGGCAACAGACTCGTGAGAACAGCCCAGGGTTCCAGGTCCCATTCCAAGGTCCCATGATCCTTGAAGAGCCCGGGAGAAGTGCTGCAGCTGGTACAGGCTTCGTGATGCAAGTAACCACTGTGCAGGTTCTCTTGCCTGGTTGTGCCTGACAATTAAATGGATTCTACTCTAGCAGGGTTTCCACCATCCTCACGCAGTCCTCCCAGTGTAGGCATGTATCCCATCAGCCACTTCATCTGTAATCCAGTCCCACAACGGATGGCTAGAGCAGCTCCTGAAGAAGCTTTCACTCTTTCCAGGGGACTCTGTGGTATCTGGAAAGCCAGATTGCAGAAACCATGATGATCAAGGAACCATGGTGAAACATGGACACGACAGAACAGACCATTGCTTCTTATCATGGCTTTTGCAAACAAAAGTCCCATACTGAAATACCACGGCAGGATTCGGAGGACACGACAGACTGTTCTGCCCAAGAAACCACCATGGCTTGTTGTGCGATTCTGCCCAATATATTAAATTCTTGCAAAAGTTAATTGTTGGAAATACTAATTTCTGCTAATAGAACTAAAAGAAATCAGAAGTCCTTTCTGTCTAGCTGTCTTTTTGTGCTCATGATTCCTGCAAGGAGAAAAAAATATAAATGAAGAGCAGAGAAATATAAACTATAAGTTAGATTTTAAGCTTTTGAGCAGGACTCAAAATATGCTTGACCATTTTATGTACAATAACTCTTCTTCCTGTAATTATCACTATCATACAGAGCAAACGTAATTATCTATATCGCATAAGCCCTGCATGAAAGGCCCGTCAGGTCCTGGATGCGAGGATCTGGCTGTGGTTAGTCAGGCAGGAGGGCAGCTTGTGTGCAGGAGGTGTGGAGGGTTCTGCGGGCCTTTCCAGCTGGGCAGGAAAATCCAGGCACACTGTGCCCGAGCCGTGCGCTCTGGCAGCAGCATCGAGTCATGGGCCGAGGCCTGGGGTGCTCCGCCACAGCCCTTGCGAGCGTCCGGACGCGATCCAAATGCCACCATTTTCAGAAAGCTGCACTGGAAGGAACGTGCTGTTCACAGGTA